CTACTGTCCAGTAAGAGCTAAACAATATATCGAGTTTTTAACTCTGCCAGCCTGGTGTGGACAGTGGAAATTGTCATGGTGAGGAGAGTCTTGATTAAAACAGCAATCAGCTTCGGAAATAGTGCCAAAATTACAGAACTCGAACTCCACACAGAGATTCTTCATAGGAATATAAGATAAATGTTAGTTAAAATATGACTCACACTTACTGTACACCTGTTCAGGAACTGTGGTCTTTCCACCTGGGACAGTTAGTATCTGAGCGATTCGCACTTGGGTGCAACCAACAAAATGAATCGAGCTCAACAATTTGTTTGTTCTGCTCAGTGTTTGTTCTAGGTTTCTCCACCTTCTGATGCAGCTGGCAGCCAATCCAATTCACAGTGTGCGCATGATGTCTGCAAAGGCTCTGGTTGCGCTGGTCCCACTCACGGAATACAGCAAGGTGCTGGCATCTTTGGTTGGAGACTTACCTCCTTGTGGTACAGCCACCTCCCACAACACACTGCACGGCCAACTGCTGCACATAGAAGCTGTCCTGGAAGCAGGGCTGGATGCAGGCTGGTGAGTTAATCCATTTGTGCAAGCTCTGCACCCCAACGTTAAAGCACATATCACATAGTTCAGAACCACTCTCTTTCAGCGGGCACCCAGAAACCCAATATTTGCTCAGTACCCAGTTTGAGACATTTAAGTATTTAAAATTTTGTTGAGAATTTTACTCTTTTGTGCAAATTAACATGTAAAAAAGGAAATAAAACCTTGAACAAACAACACCATATACTAGGAAAAGCAGGTTATGTGTCTGGTCTGTACTATTTGGAGTTTGAAGACTAAGACTGTCCCTAGTGAACACATGTCTAGTCAATGTCTTTGACTCTCTTTCTCTGGCTGTCATTCAGCTAGGATTTGAGTTGGAGACACACAGGCACATCAGAGAGGGAGGGAAACCCATGGATCTCAAGACGTAGCTTATAGAGGGACCCATGCTCAGAGGGTTCGGTGCAATTAATAACATTCAGACCAAGAAGAAACCAAGTGAGATAGAGAACTAGGATCCAAAGAAATTGCCTCTGTCCAGTAGGTGCAATGTACTTGCTCCTTCAGATAATTAGAGACTGTCAGAAGGAAAGTCATACTGTGGCATCTTGGAGACTGTGGGAGATAGTCAAGGGAGGAAATGTCAAGTGGTAGCCATAGGAGATTCAACACTTACTGTTGTGGACCAGAACAGATCATCACCCCTCTCCCAAAGTACTATAAAGAGACAGCCTAGACCCTAACTTTTATATTTATTTAAAGGCAAGTGTAAGGCATTGTGTTCCAGATGTGATTCGATTGGCTTTAATCAAAACACACTTTACTCTTACAACATAGTTAAAATACAAAAAAAAATTAGCATAACTTTAACCCTATTGACAAACGTAACAAGATAATTGAATCAGAGATAGTAGGAACTGCAGATGCTGGAGAATCCGAGACGACAAGGTGCAGGGCTGGATGAACACAGCAGGCCAAGCAGCATCATAGGAGCAGAAAGGCTGACGTTTCGGGCCTAGACCCTTCATCAGAAAAGGGGGAGGGGAAGGGGGTTCTGAAATAAATAGGGAGAGAGTGAGAGACGGATAGAAGATGGATAGAGGAGAGGATAGGTGGAGAGGAAACAAACAGGTCAAAGAGGCGGGGATGGGGCCAGTAAAGGTGTGTGTAGGTGGGGAGTTAGGGAGGGGATAGGTCAGTCCAGGGAGGACGGACAGGTCAAGGGGGCGGGATGAGGTTAGTAGGTAGGAGATGGGGGTGCGGCTTGAGGTGGGAGGAGGGGATAGGTGGGAGGAAGAACAGGTTAGGGAGGCGGGGACGAGCTGGACTGGTTTTGGGATGCGGTAGGGGGAGGGGAGATTTTGAAGCTTGTGAAATCCACATTGATACCATTGGGCTGCAGGGTTCCCAAGCGGAATATGAGTTGCTGTTCCTGCAACCTTCGGGTGGCATCGTTGTGGCACTGCAGGAGGCCCAGGATGGACATGCCATCTGAGGAATGGGAGGGGGAGTTGAAATGGTTCGCGACTGGGAGGTGCAGTTGTTTATTGCGAACCGAGCGTAGGTGTTCTGCAAAGCGGTCCCCGAGCCTCCGCTTGGTTTCCCCGATGTAGAGGAGGCCACAACGGGTACAGCAGATGCAGTATACCACATTGGCAGATGTGTAGGTGAACATCTGCTTGATGAAGAAAGTCTTCTTTGGGCCTGGGATGGGGGCAGGTGTAGCACTTCCTGCGGTTGCAGGGAAAAGTGCCGG